ATATCATATGGTAGGCTTGCTCGGTTTCATTATCAACTCTTGGAGCAAACCTACATGGTTTAAAATTGTTTAGGAGCACGGCACATAGCTTGTCCTACTTTTGTTTATCTAATATGTGCCAAAGTCCAAATTATAGATAATCTCTCCCGAATATCATTTTTTAAAATGATTCTCACATTCATGAAAAGTCATCTTTCAAATGGTACTTTGATACTTAAATCAATGTGCACAAATTTTACAAGTATTCAACATTTGTGTGCACATATTTAGGGGGAGTATTTCTACAACTTGGATGCCTTGAGACTAACACTTTTTCAAATGGTATCTTTTTTTTAAACCTATCACATGTGTAGTAGTCTCATTGTAAGGAAATTGGAGTCCCCGGAGTTAAGCATCATTCTTCAAATGGCATCATCATGTTGATTTCATTTCATATTTATATGCTTTCTCCATGCATTATATAGATTAAACTCTCTTATGCAATAAATTGCTAATTATGCATATGCCTTGCTTTCTACCACATGTATGCATATATTTAGGGGGAGCTTAGTCTATATAATGTGAGAGTCAAATTTTGTGATCTATTTCACTCTATACACAAAGGATCACGAAATTTGACCCTCCCTTATGCTACTAATGTCTTCCTTTTCGGTGTTTGATGCCAAAGGGGGAGAATTTAAAGGACCAAAGGAAGCAAGGCTTAAATCCACAATGCCACATGGGGACATAAGGGCAAGATGGTCTTCAATTGGTATCTAAGTAGGATATTCTAGCATCATATAACCTTGCCCTTTGCATTGCATCCTAGCAAGTAGATAGTCTTTAAATTTAATTTTTTTTATTATTTGCTTGCTTTGGTCGTGTTGGCATCAATCACCAAAAAGGGGGAGATTGTAAGAAAAATGGACCCTTGGCCCATTTACTTTGGATTTTGGTGTTTGATGACCAACACAACTAAATTGGACTAATGAATTTGCAAGTGTTTATTTTGTAGTTCAATAGGGTGCAAGACGTGACTTGGATGAAGGCGACGTGGTGATCCGATGATCAACACCTTAAGAAAGACCTTAGAAGCACAAGAGAAGACCCAAGATATCAAGCAAAGTCCAAGCACAAAGATTGGAACCAAGCCGTACGTAAGATCGCGAAGAAATGAACTCACTGTGGTGACCGGATGCAGGACCGGACGCTGGACAAGCAACCGGACGCTGCGACCGGATGCTGGGCAAGTGGCTCGGCAGACAGGCGACCGGATCCCAGACCGGACGCTGGCGGCAACCGACCGGACGCAGGACAGCAGCGTCCGATCGATTACAGTAAGGTTCCTGAGCGGCAAATCTGCGACCGGACGCTGGCCAGCGTCCGATCAGTAAATTGCCAGCTCAATGGTCGGGACGACCGGACGCGTCTGGTCAGGACGATTCAGTGTCCAGTCAGTAGCAGTTTCGTAGGAATTCAACCCCAACGGCTACTTTCTCAGTGGGGCTTATAAATACAACCTCAACCGGCCATTTGAGTAGAGTGGAGCTGAGGAAACATACCAAGGGTGTTAATACACCATTTTAGTGATCTCCACATGCATAGTGCTTAGTGTTTTATTAAGTGATTAGTATAAGTGCTTTGCGAAGTGCTTAGGTTGATTAGACCACCGCTTATGCGCTTGCTCTAGGTTTATGCCTAGTGTTTAGTGAGGTTTGCATACCTCTTGCCACCCCGTGCTTGCGAGCACAAGTGTTGTACATCGGAGGGGCTTGAAGTCTTGCGAGATCACACCAACCGTGTTTGTGGTGTGGCCGCCACCGTGTATCGGAGGGAACAAGGCCCACTTGATAGTGAAGACGACGGGGAGCATCCAAGAGAGGCTTGCCGGAAGGCACGTCGGAGACCCACTTGCGTGTGGGGAAGGCCCGAGGCTATCCACGGAGTTACTTGACCGGGAGCTTGGCCCTTGCGAGGGATTCCTTATGAGGGGCTCCAACGAGGACTAGGGGGAAGCTTGCGCGCTTCTCGATACCTCAGTAAAAATACCGGAGTCGTCGACGGGAGTTTGCATATCTCTACCTCGCTCTTTAGCTTCCGCACTTACATTGAATACATTACTTCTATTGCGGTAGAGATAGCAACACATTAGCAAAACCGTAGTTGCACATTTAGATAGTTTATCTTTTGCATAGGTTTTGCTAAGGTTAGCAAAAGAGGCCAAAGTTTAGAGTTAGATTTTTTAAGTTGCCTAATTCACCTACCTTCTTAGGCGTCACGATCCCTTTCAAGGTCTAAGCACCACATTGAGACCGGATCTCCAGTGTGGCGGCTTAGAGTCCAAGTTTGGACGGGGACCTGGACCCCATGACAGGAGTGGAATGGGTTGGTCTTGTTTGTGCCTGGGGTACAAACGGGGCATGTGTTTCGAGGTACCCAGCTGTAATACATTAGTTCATGAATCGCCGTTTCCGTGAGACTGTACGACTTGGCTATGGTCAAGCACCGTAGTAAGAACTAGAAGATGAAAGATGGTGAAATGGTTCTGATTGCTTAACCCTTGCTTGAAAGTAGAACAGGTGCTTACCTAGAATGGTTAGCTAATGAAGTAATCATGACCGCTAATAAAACTTGACTGTAAGGATTAACTATTAGTAATGTTTTTTGCAAATAAAAAGAGAATAACAAACCCATATTGCCTATCATACTCCTTGGAGTCGGAAAACTATTCCCACTAGTCGGGTAAGTCTTGCGAGTATATTGTGTACTCAGGGTTTATTTTACCCCTGTTGCAGGTGCAGCCTGAGGAGTAGCTCTTGTGTGGATGATTCTTCTGGTGGGCACAGACGGATCCTTGTATCGTTTCCGCTAGATGCTTATTTTTATTCCGCTGTTTAATTATCGCACTCTGAACTCTGGTATTGTAATAAATAATTTCTAAGAGCTCTTGTTGTATGAAATGGACTAAGTATTGTAAGCTCGTACTTATTATTGGATTCTAGATGTCAAACGTGGATTGTTTCGAGTTCTCCCTTAGGGTGGGCTCGACGGAACTGTCCGATGTAGCTAACTCTCGAGGTGCTTAGTGTCTAGAGGAAGGCAAGCGTCTCCGAAAGCATGTTATTTTGGACGGTTCTGCCACAAATACCGAACAAGGAGACATAAAGATATATTTTCGTGGTTCTGTGACTTGTTGGTCACCTATGTCAACATTGCATTAAGCCCAAGGATCACCACTTCTCTACCAAGACTTAACCACATAAAAGGTTGCCTCCTCCACTTAAGGGCTTGGTCTCTAAGTTGGCTCTATCACAAGGCGTTTATTCAAGTTTTTCATCTCTCCAGTGGAGAATGAACAAAGAGATTTCTGCTTACACTCATTATGTTGAAAATTGCTAACAGCTGGGATCATCATATGTTATCACAAAAAATTGAACATAATGGATATTTACATATCACAGCTAAAAGTTTTTGTCTGTTATCTAGAAAACTCATCTCATTTGCATGTGTTGTTTCTCATAAGCATAGCGCATCTCACACTCCACGCAAAAGTTGCGCCGCATTATAACAATACAGCTATGAATCCAGCTAAACTTAGCTGTTGTTTATGATGACTTGGATCACCCTAGATTAGGAATGAAAAATCCTTGTCAACATTAATCACTTTGAACAAAACAATCAGCCAAAAACATCTAAAATAGTTGTAGTCTTCTTGAGCAAAGAGAAATTTGCCTACACTTATTTTGTTGAAAAATGCTAACAACCGGACAATATCATCATGTCTTACACCAAACAATTTGAACACCGAATGGATATTCGCATGTCATACCTAAAAATGTTTGTCTATTATAATGTTCTAGAAAACTTTACCCCTTTAGAGCAAGTATATTGGTGCTATCTCATGCATTGTCACGTACTGAGTAATCATGAGATAATTGAATAGCCAATATATATATATATAATGGGTTGTCTTTTTTTGTGTGCAATCAACAAAGAAAAATTTGTGAGGTGCAAGACAACATAAATCGTACAGTGGTGAAATAGTTGTCCCATGGTTTCCTCATGTGCAATCAACAATGCTAATTTTACCATCCAAGCCGTTGATCTTGAACATCTGCCTTTTCTGGAAAATCGCAGTCGCAGACGTCCACGAAGGCCTCCAGGCTCCAGCTCGGCAAAACCTGTCTGTCATCCACGATCCACGCCGCACGTTGCCGTGGCTCAACCGGCCCGCCCTACCCACCAGCCAGTATAAAATGCCCTCTCCTCCTCCGGCTGCTCAGTGTGCTCCGCTCCATTTTTCTCCTCCTCTCGTTTTTGCGTTTAGGCCCCTGGGGAAGCAGGGATTCCGGCGCCGGTCCCTCTCCCCGGCTCTCCCGCCTCGCAGCTCCGATCGAGGCTGCAGCGTCAGGTATGATCCTTCGGAGCCGCTTTCGGTCCTCATGGACTTGCATTTCACCTCGTGCACGCGCTGTCGGTTTTAGATTTCATCTGCCTCTGTGAGGACTTGGTTAGAAACTAGAAGCGGTGGCTGGGGAGTCGCCGCGGTCTCTAGGAGGCATTCCAGGGCAGGATTTGGTGAAAATCTTGGTTTCCGGGGCGAATTTTGGTGCCAATCACTCTTGGACTGGGGATTTTGGTGCCAAGAACTCTTTAGGAGAAGATCCTAAATTTGGGTGGGGGTTTAAGCTATAGAGTACGGTGGAACTGATAAGGTTGGGCTATTGTTGCTCCAAAAATCTCAGGGGAACCGGAAATAGTAGGTAATAGTAGTAGTTTGTTTGTTTATATGCAGTAATGTAGAAGTTTTTCTGTTGGCCGCTGCTTTTTATGATAAATTTTGGCTCTAAATTTATGGTGCAGTAATTAGTACTTGTAATTAGGAGTTCTGACTAGGTGCATATGTCGAGGTGAAAAAGAGAGGCAGGAAGTAGGTTTTCTTGTTGTGATGTGATGCAGAACTTCTTTACCACTGTAGCTATTTTATTTAAAATTGTATTTTGCGTCCTGTAGTTGCATTTATGGGAAATCAATGCCAAAATGGAACCTATGGGAGCAATTACAACAACTACAACCACTTTCAGAAGGAGCCTTTGGCTTCTAGGTACTACGATGGGGACGATTCTGAGGATTGCTACTCAGGGCCATCTAGGTCGAGTATAGCGGATCTTATGCGGCAAGGACTGAGACGAACCTTAACGTCCATCTCTGTCCTTGGTCGAAAGACTCCTAATGTAACAGAGCATTATACCCTCGGCCGGCAGCTTGGAGAGGGTCTCACTGGGACAACCTACCTCTGCACCGAGATCAGCACTGGTTGTCAGTATGCATGCAAGTCCATCTTGAAGACAAAGTTCCGGAACATGCAAGATATCGAAGATGTGCGCCGTGAGATCCAGATAATGCACTACCTTTCAGGCCAAAATGATACAGTCACCATCAAGGATGTGTATGAGGATGAGGAGGCCGTGCACATTGTCATGGAGCTCTGTGAAGGTGGTGAGCTATATGACCGGATTAAGAAGGGGAATTACAGTGAGCAGAAGGCTGCAGATCTTATAAGAATTATTGTTGGCATCATAGAGAACTTCCATTCACTTGGTGTGATGCACCGGGATCTCAAGCCAGAAAACTTCCTCTTACAGGATAAAGACGATGATTTGTCAATAAAAGTAATTGACTTTGGTCTCTCTGTGTTCTTCAAACCAGGTATTATATCAAATTAAAACAAGCCATCAGGCTGTTCGAATTATCAAGTAATGAACTCGTTATGTGATATTCTGCTAATGTTTTGATCTCTATGTTGTATAACCCAGTAGGTCCTTCATGTTGTCCATAAGTGAAATATTTTGTTTGTGTTTCTAATTATTTTATGGCTCCCACAGAGCAGAACAGTATAGCATAGTATTTCCTCCTTGTATAGTTTTTTCCCTGATTGATTCACATCTGGACACCTTTGATTTATACCGGAGTATGGAAGTATGCACCAATTCTGGAGCTTTTTCCTGAATACAGAATTTGCAAATTTTCAGGTGAGGTTTTCACTGAAACAGTTGGAAGTCCATATTATATTGCTCCAGAGGTATTGCAGAAGCATTATGGACCGGAGGCTGATGTATGGACAGCTGGAGTGATACTCTATGTATTGCTAAGTGGCGTGCCACCGTTTTGGGCAGGTGAATTGATTAGACATGATATTTGACTATTTGCAGTTTTGCTTCACTGCTGTTTTCTGGATGTACTCACATCACTCATTTAATTTTGTACCAGATACACATGAAGGTGTACTTGACAAAGTGCGGGATGGGCATTTTGATTTTGAATCAGACCAGTGGCACAGGATTTCAGACAGTGCAAAGGATCTTATAAGAAAAATGCTATGCCCCTGTCCATCGGAGAGATTGAAAGCCCATGAAGTTCTAAGTTAGTATCGTTTAACCCTTGTGCACATTATTTCTTTTCATTTCAATACCTTATATCCACATGTCTTGCTTTTCCTAGAATGACTTTGACTGGATATTTATTCCTGGAAATTCACATTAACTATTGTAAGATCGAGGAATTGATAATAGTTGTTCACGATTTAATGATCTTTTCTTTCTAAATGCTCAGAGCATCCTTGGATATGTGATAATGGAGTGGCTACTCATCAAACTCTAGATCCAACTGTTCTTTCTCGTATCGACAAATTATCTGCAGCGAATAAATCAAAGAAATTGGCTCTACAGGTATGCTTACATGCCATGGAGTGGAGAAGTTATTTCCATTTTTGCATCATGGTAAAGCATTATCAGGGCTTTTGGGAAAGAAATTGGAGATGCATGTTTTCTATTACCTTTTTTTTCCAATATGGATCCTTTTGGTGATGTTATAGTTTAAACTTCACTAGCATTGTTACCTGCTATAAAAGGTTAAAACGACCCAAAATATGTAAACATCATGAAATTTTCTACAGGGTGTCTTAAAATTTGATGCAAAGCTTTTCATTATTCAGGTATTAATATATCTGTCATCAACTCATCATTGTTGTCAGTGCACATATTGTCAGTCATCTATGTGTTTCATTTTTGCTTCCAAGCTCAGAGAATAATTGATCAGACCTTTTTACTATTTGGTTTCATTTGTCTGATCTGCTATTCTAGGTTGATTTAGATAATTTCCATAGGATGCTTTGCAAGGTAGATGGGATGTGAAGTACTCTACATTTGTTTCGAAGAACCTGAAGTACTCTACTTAGCCTGGCAATTCCATATCATAATAATTCACTTATTTCGCATTTGTGAATCTTCCTGATTTTGGCCCAGGTTATTGCTAAGCATCTTTCAGAAGAGGAGATTGGTAGGTTGAGAGGAATGTTCAAGGCAGTGGACAATGGAAACAGTGGTGCGATTACTTTGGCTGAGCTTAAAGAAGGGTTGAGGAAATGTGGCTTAGTGTTTAAAAATATTGAGATTAGTGATATCATGGAAGCGGTAAGTAACTACTATGTGGAGCACTAGCAATCATACTGGTGCATATGATGGATCTTTTAAAAACTTGATGACGTTTCAGAGTACTATTGGACGAACTAGAAGCGATACTACTAATGTGTTGTTGAACCACCTGTTAAACCGGTCCTTTTGTTTAAGAAGCACTGAACCATTCACACGCCATATGTATTAAATAGGTCACTGAAGTGTCCGATGCACTGAACTGATTTCATGACTTTAAGAATTTTTATTTATGGAATGCTTGTAAAAAGAACTGAGATAACATATCCCTGTCATCATAGTTCAAACTCATGGATTTACAGGAAAAACAAATGAAATGTATCTTTATCCAGTACGTTATTGCTATAGAGCACAACATGCATTTCCCGTACGTTACTGTCAGCCTTATTGAAAAGTTTTTATATCTTCAGGATGATTATGACAACAACATCAATATCAATTGGGAAGAGTTTATTGCTGCAACAGTGCCCCTAATTAAAATAGAACACAAAGAATATTTGACGGAAGATTTTACATATTTCGACAAAGATGGAAGTGGTTATATCACTGTCGACGAGCTTCAAAAGGCTTCCATGGAACACAAGATGGAAGATACTTTCCTTGAGGACATCATTTACGAGGTCGATCAAAACAACGTAAGTCTGCCTTCTGATTCCTCGCCAAGCTATGATATCAGTGATTTTGATAAGTTTGTGGAATAGAATGATCTATGCTTTTTGGAGCATTATTTGCATGTTTGATGGAAGTACATTGGTCCTAAATGATTTCTCTCTCTCTCTTATTTTTTTAAAAGATAGCCCTAAATGATTTCACTTTCAGAAATGCCTTAGTGATTGGGAGTGAAAAAACCACAAGCTCATGTATGGCAGTTTTACAGTTTGCAGTCCCACACAAGCATAAAAAATGCCCGCATTTCCATTTTCTACAGAAATGTGTGATAACATGCGCTTTCCTAATTCTGTAATGAAATAGGAAGACATGTATAGTTGATTTGTCTTGGGAATACATGTTCATACCTAATTTTAAGGCATGGTTTCATCAAGTCTCAGAACAATATGTATATAGGGGGGGAAAGCAGCATGTAGAAGAAAAAAAATCCCTGCTGGCAATCTGATGTGTTAACTTCTCATTCTGTAAATTTTCAGGATGGCCGGGCCAACTATGGTGAGTTCATCACAATGATGCAAAGCGATAACTCTGGACTGAGGGAGGCACCTGAAGTTTACTGATGTCTCTGTGGGTGCAAAGATACTGTTCTCTTTGGCTCCTTGTGTGGTTTGGTTCCTCACAAGTCACAACCACCATTGGGCAAAGCTTGTGAATCGAGGAGAAGAGAATGTAGTCTAAATAGTCGAAAGCTAGTAGAAGGCTGGCTACCTTATAGCATGCAGCCATGCAGGTAGTATAGGTATGTTGTATGATCTATAAGAACAAATAAAGCCAATGGTCATCATTATGTATCAGTGACTGGTTTGCTGGTTGCTACCCTGCAGCCTAATAGATTAAATACTAGTAGAAGAAATTGATCTGTCTGCTTCTTTGCTGTGGTCAACCGTCAACAGAGTGCTTATTGTTGGGAGGAAGTAATCAGCAACAGCAAAGTTTACATCTCTTCAGCCATGCCTGAAGACCCCAACCTGATGTAATCTGCAAGCCATTCTGGAGGAAGCCAGCCGTCTTATACAGAAGCAGAAGGGAACAGGTTAACCAACGGCGATGAGGTTGAGGTTCAAATTCAAGTGGTTGGAGGGCAGGTGTCTAGCTAGTTTGGCGATCTGGTCCGAGTGGACTGCTCTGTACACGGCAGGGTCCAACTCCAGCAGAACTTGTGAGTACGGAGTACCTGGTCGGCGATCGTGATCCTGTGTCAGGAAGGCGCGAAACCAAAGCCGAGCTCGAGCGGGGTGTCGAGGTCGAGCGCGGCGAAGCGAGGGACGGCGGGGCGTGGGACCGTGGCGTTTGGCAAACCTGGAAGGCCGTGCCGTTGCGGTCGGCCGGCCGGCCGGCGCGGGTGAGGAGGCGCCGGAATCTGGGCTGTCGCCGATCGAGCCGTTTGGAGCCCGATCACTTGTCTGTCCAACGGAAAGGAGACGGAAAGAATCGTGACCTCGTGGGTCGTCAGCAGGCGCGGCCACGGCTTCATCTGTTCGCCGCTAGTGTCGGTCGCGTGGCTTTCCGCTCGATACCTGTGAGGCTGTGAGTCCGGCGGGCCGCGGGCGGGGTCTTCACGTCTTGTCTTGTGGCTGCGAATCGAATGCTGGTTTGTGGGCGAGAGCAAAGCACCGGAAAAGAGAGCGCGTGCCGTGCGTGCGTGCGTGCGTCACCGCCACGGCGAGGACCAAGGGCAACGGCGCACGCGGACGCGGTCATGGGCAACCGGTAACGCCGGAGTGTTTGTGTTGTGTGGTGTGGTTCTCTTCTGCTAGGCCTAGGAGCAAGTGGGATATGAAGAAGGCCTTCCCGAGATCGAGTGGGCCGGTACAGCTGAAGGATGTTGCGATATTGCGATAAGATGAAGAGCAAACCAAAATCAGCTTTACGAAGAACACATATATAGCGTAATTTGATAGAGAAATTGAGAAAATGGAATAGTAAATGATTATACTGGAGTATCATATCAATTCGATCAGCAAGACATATAGGGCGGCAAAATTCGATTCGAGAAAACCAGCCGGCCATATCAGTCTGCCTGATCTGATAAGTGCAGGCCTAGGATTTTGGCGTGTCATTGATACCGTCTTATGAACTTTCTTGCATTTTGTTTTCTTTTGTCATGGTATCAAATCCACATGGTATCCGATTCCATGAGGTTTCTTTTTAAAAAAAATAAAAACTAACACAACATTTGGAAAAAGTATTCATATCATTTTATTACTACCTAAAAATGTCCTTGGACAAAAATACTTTATTAATAATAAAGGTAAAGATCTCGGAATAAAAATGTACTCCTACCTTGGTCCTGGTTCATTAGCCCTCAAAAGCAAAGAATTAAGGAAGAGAGAGGGAAATGCTTTCTTATACAAAAGACTATGTCTATACGAGAACTAAAATAGGAAGAGATATGATAGGTGTATGATACGAGAGACAACACATGTGATTAGATTAAAATTTATTTTGAAAAAGACACCCATTGCGGATATAATTTCTTTGTGCAATGTCTAGATGAGTTGACAAGTATAGAAACCATTATTATGACTGCCCTAATCCATTATTCTTTCCACCGATTCAACCATCAGCACTCACCTCGATGCAAAATCAATGGTGGTGAGGATGCTACTGACAAGCTAGGCACCTTGGTGCTACATCCTTTAGTCATAAATATGGATGGCAACGGGGATATACCCGTCGGGTATCGCCGGAACGTTCTGTTCCCCGCTACGGAGAATTCATCCCGTCCTCGTCCCCATTAACTATCTCGGGTATAGATTCTTGCCCATCCCCGTACCCGTCGGACATCGGTCGGGTAACAGATACCCGACAGGTACTGCATACCCGATAAACAATGACACTTGGGGTCGCAGCTTTGCAATCGGAGACGTTTCTTCTTCACCCGGGTATAAGTGTCGGAGTCTCGGAGACGCCGAGGAGAAGGAGCGAGGTTGCAAGGAGGACGAGCAAAGGTGGTAGAGAGACCGAACTGAGGAAGCGAGGGGCACGAGCGCTCGTGAGGCAGACGTGCTTGTGCCGCTGGCGGAGATTGTGAGGAAAAATTGAACTAGGGTTTCTAGAACACACAAACTATATATATGATTATTCAGATTTGGGCCAAAATACCTATGTTGAGCTTCTTTGGGCATAATACTCGCATGACAGCTCAAATAGTCGGGTTCCCCAACAGGTAACGGGGACGGGTAAATAGGGAACGTTCCCGTACCCGCTATACCCGTCGGGGATGGATTCTTGCCCATTTAGATGCCCACGGGTAAAGATATGATCCCATCCCCATCCCCTAATGGATCAAATACCCGTCGGGTATCGGGTATCGGGGGCCCGTTGCCATCTTTAGTCATAAATGTACGTTTATTAGGGCACTCGTAACAGTAAGAGCTAGTTACCAGCTCTAAGCCAACATCCCCAACAGTGTTAATTTTTAGCAATGACTCTTAGTATGATTAGGCCCACATAACAATACTCTCACATGATCTTGGAACGTGTGTAAGAACCTAGCTCTTAGTTAAGAGCTAGCTTTTTTTCTCTCTTTTATTAAAATATGAAAAAATACTTAGAGCTAGCTTAAAAGTCGATCCATTGATGGAGCTGCCCTTATACTCCCTCCGTTTTTTACAAGTCACATTAGCTTTGTCCTAAATCAAACATGTGTATCTTTGACCATCTATTTCAAAAAGAAAATATATAGGCTCATGATACGAGATATATGTTTTTAGATTCATGATGAAAAATACTTTCATAACATATAATTTATATGATGTGAAATTATAAGATTCTTTTGAAATGGATAATGGTAAAAGATAATAATGTTTGACTTAGAACAGAGCAAATGTGACATGTAAAAAAGAATGGAGGGAGTACTTAAGTATATTCTTTTTTTTTTTAACCTTGACTATTTTTTTATTTTTTGTGATACTTTTTATATATAGATTGACATATATTTATGATGTAAAATCTTTCATAATCTGTAATATTTTAGTTTTAAGATAAGAACTTTCTTACATATATTGCTAAACAAAGTGTAAAATAATCAATATCTTAATACGCAGACTTATACTATTTGTGATTAAAAAAATTATTTTCCCTTGAGCCCGAGTGGAAGGGAATGTCACGGTCACGGCCTTCTGGAAAGGGATCAAATGTGCTAGTACGGCACTGCCTGCTTGTCACTGACTCTCTTTTTTTCTTGATTGAAAAGTTCAGGGCCTCTTCTTGGCACGTCATGTTTTCCTCTCGCATTAACGCCGGATCACATCAGCTTTGCTTCGCCCTGATCGACCGATCACACGATGCCCATGAGTCACTCACTGAGTCTGACCATCCAGCCGCCCGGCCGGCACCAGTGTCTCGTGGCCTCAATTCCGTCACTCGCTCGCCGTGCGCGCGCGTGTGGCCACCCTCTCGTCCCGTCCTCTTCGCTTCCCGCGCCGTGGATAAGCCACAGCCATCGGACGGGGGCGCAGGCGCATGGCGCCATCGCGAGCCGTCCATCGGACCAACGATGCGGTTGCCGGAGGAGCCGGAGCCGTCGGATAGACATCTACTGTAGGGCGGAGCAGTTGGTAGGTAGGTTTCCCGTTTTCAACCTGCGTGTTCGCGCCAACACGGCAGCGCTAAAAAGCTACTCGACCGATGACCCAGGACGTACGAGTTCCTGTTCCAGCATCCAGCTCAAGAGCCGGAAACCCAACAGACAGAGTACGTACAAGCGACTGTGACCGTCTGGGGGGTGTTGTCATGGCCGGATCGGGAGGCGAGGGGCAGGCTCCAGCGAGCTCCGGCGCCAGCCTAATGAGCGACTACCTCGACCGCCCGAACGCCATCCACCGGCGCGCCGCGTCGCTCGCCATCGTGCGCTCCGGCGCGGGGGCGGCCGGGGACGGCCCGCGCGTCGTCGACCGGCCCGGGCGGGAGGACCGGAGGGCGCAGTCGTCTCGCCGACCCTCGCTGTCGTTATGGCGCTCTAGGGAGCCGGCCGCCGTTGATTCGAGAACCCCCGTTCCGGGCGCCGGGGGTGGCAAGGATAAAGGAGGGTCGACGTGGAGGAGCTGGAGGCCGGTGCGCGCGCTCGCGCACCTCGGGAAGCGCCGCGCGGGGTGCCTGTTCTCCGTCGAGGTCGACGCCGCCCGCGGCGTGCCGGTCTCCATGGAGGGGTTCCGCCTCGCCGTCACCGTGCGCAAGGCGGAGACCAGGGACGGCGCCGTGCAGGCCATGCCGTGCCGGGTGCGCGACGGCGCCGCGGACTTCAACGAGACGCTCTTCGTCAGGTGCAACCTCTACTTCTCCGGCGGCGCCGGCACGGGGAAGCCGCTCAGGCTCCAACCGCGGCGGTTCATCGTGTCCGTCGTCGCCGTCGAGGGACGGGGCGCGCTTCTGGGCACGCACACCGTTGACGTCAGCTCGCTCGTGCTCGAGTCTCTCGACAAGATCAGCTCCGAGGGACGCCGCGTCAGGTGGTTCCACAAGACGTTCGCGCTCTCCGCCGGCGGAGAGCTGCAGCTCAAGCTGGGGCTTCAGCTCATGGGAGACGCAGGGCTCAGCCTCTACACGCAAGCCGGTGAGAGGGACGAGCAGTACTCTCCGGCATCCTCTCGCGCCAGGGCTCACAACAGGAACTCGTTCAGCATTTCAAGCACGCCCAAGATTTCGTCATCTGACGCTTCCATCTCACCTTCCATGAGGGCCTACAAGCAGCTTGTCGATAGGCTTCGCGTCGACGAGAATGGAGATCCTGATCATCATCCTGCAGTAAGGTCTCTGATACCTCGAAAGCCCGGCGACGACGAGCTTTCGGCATCCACCAGCGACGCCGGGGACGTGTTCAGCCTCCTCGAGTACGAGGTCGTGGAGAAGGGCGTTGAAACGGTCAAAGAAGTCGTCCATTACCAGGCTCAACGCGACGTGCTGCGGGAACTCGACTCCATTGCCGAGCAGATCGAGGCCATCGAGGCGCTGATGACCAACGGCGGGAACGGGAAGAAGTCGCCCAAGGCGGCGGATCAGCAGCAGCGCCTGGGCGCGGATGAAGAGATGGTGACGGTGGAGTTTCTTAGGAAGCTCGAGGTGGACGGTGTCGGTGACAAGAAGAAGCTCAAGCTGCCCGTGACGCCAAGAAGCGCGTCGGCGTCGCCAAGGAAGGCGGCGACTCCGCCCGTGGTGCCGGACTTGGGGCGGGGCATCGGCCCTGCCGTGCAAACGCGTGACGGTGGGTTCCTGGTGTCCATGAACCCGTTCGACTTGCCGCTGGCGAGCCGAGACGGCCCCCCGAAGCTCGCCATGCAGGTGTCCAGGCCGTTCGTGCTGCCGGGCGCCATGGCGGCCACAGGGTTCGACGTGCTCCAAAAGATGGCGGCGGCGGTCGGCGCCGACGAGGTGCGCGACAGGGTGGCGTCGCTCGGTGGCATGGACAATATTACGGGGAAGACGCCCGAGCAGGTGGGCTTTGAGGGCATCGCGGCGGCTGTCATCGGCGGGCGACGCACCGAGGGCGCGAGCTCGAGCGCCGCGCGGTCCGTGCGGTTGGTCCGGAAGCTCGCCACGGCCTTGTCCGAGGGCCGGAGCGAGCGCGTCTCCACGGGCATCTGGACCGCGGGTGACGACCCGGAGACGCTGGACGAAGTTCTCGCTTTCTCCCTGCTGAAGCTGGAGCCCATGGCCGTGGACGCGCTGGCGGTCCAGGCCGAGATGGCCGACGAGGACGCGCCGTTCGAAGTGTCGGCGGCCGCGGGGGACACGACGAGCGTGTTCGACTCGCTGGTGCCGTCGGACGAGTGGTCCGAGTCTGCTGCAGGTGGCTCGGACGGGCGCGTCACGCTGGTGGCGGCCATCCAGGTGCGCGACCCGTGGCGGCGGTACGAGGCGGTGGGCGCGCCGATGGTCGCCGTGGTGCAGTTGGCGAGGCTGCTGGGCGCGGCGGGCTACAGCGCCGGGAGGTTCAAGGTGCGGAGCCTGCACGTGGGGGGCGTGCAGATGAGGTGCCCGCCGTCCGGAGGCGGCGGGAGCGCGAGCTGGGGCGCGGAGAGGCAGAAGCTGACGGCAATGCAGTGGATGCTCGCGCACGGGCCGGCCCGCGCCGGCAAGAGGGCGACGACGCCGACGGCGCAGGAGAGGGCGAGAGTGCAGCGGCGGGCCGACGTCGTGTGGAGCCTGTCGTCGCGGGTGCTCGCGGGGATGTGGCTTAAGACGGTGCGGAACCCGGACGTGAGGATTGGCGGCGGTGGGAGCGGCGGTACGTGAGGTCATGTGCAGTCTGCAGCGTGACTACGTGCAGCATGAGTGCATCGAGCTTAGATTGCATGATGACGATGTAATCTCATAGATTCTGGTTGTATGGCCCCCCGGCTTACCTTATAATCTATACTATTCAGCTTGTTTTTTCAGTCGAACAGTGTTTTTCTCTCACAACAATTCAGGCCTATATGTATGTAGACGTACAAGTAAAATTAGCGGTGTGGAATTGCAGTTTGTATGGTAGTGTTACGAATTATCAGTTTTAAGTGTTCCTTCATGTTGCTATATATGGTTGGATCAAAACCTAAATATGCTTTTAGCAAAAGAAAAAAAACCTAAATATGCTAGTCTACGGTGCCAAAAAAAAACGGCGCACTATCAAGAATTATTTTATGACTAAGAAGAAAAATTTGATATTATAGATTTCATATTATATATTTTTTTCAAATTTATTGTTTAAAAAAAACAAACACCTTAAATTGAACGGATGGAGATGGAGTAGATCAATTCAGATTCTGAAAAAGATTTAGAGTTTGTTCATGCTTCCTATCTTGACTGTGGTTGAACTGGGCCTCCACGCCCAAGAACGAAGCAATTGCTCACATCTGAAGCCCAATAGTGCCGCAATGCCCATGGACTCGCTCGCATGTCGTAGCAGTACAGCACGGTACTTTCCCCGGAAAACGAAAACACGGCATCAATCAGTGCGCCGGGTGATGCCGGAGCCATGTCACTGTTGCGCAAGTTCCTTCTTTTTGTCGGGACAGTCACAGTCACTTCTGTGCACTGAATACTGATGCTGTGCTCACGCTGCTTTCATATACAAATGTACTGTACGGGAGTTATCGAAAACGACATCGTATTCAATCGTGCGCACATATTCCCCCGGGAGCATTATCCAAGATATTGTCGATTGCGATGTTCATGTGGAGATATTTTTCTCCCCTTCTCCTGCCCTCTGCTGAGTGCTGAGTGCTAACACAACCATATGATATTATGATATGAACAGTCACAGGTCAGGATACACTGTCTGAGCAGGAAACAGAAAAAGGTGCCAGTCAAGAAAAGAGCTTTGCAGTGCAGATATCATGCTTCCAAACTTACTTTCGCAGATATCAGCTTCGTGGATGTATGATCATGAACGCCCGTGCGCACATGAATGCTCATAGCAGTTCACACAAACTTTCGTCTCCGCTATGGCCGACAAACTTGCCCTCGTGAGAAAATGGCAAATCTGAAGATTTCCTCTAGATCTGTGTGCAGAGAAGAGCAGGTCCGCGATCAGCGAGCGACGAGCCACGGCCACCTCCATCCAGCTCGATCAGATGTCTCCAGAGCCGAGACAAACCCTGCACGACACCGTGGCCGGTGGCCCGTGGCGTTGCGGCACAGGTCCAGCGCCGACCGGCGATCAATCACTCAAGCGTCTCAACCGGCCAATCCCACACGGGCCACGGCACGCACCGGACGCAGACGCACGCACACGTGGGCAGCCACCGCCGGTGACTCATCGGCGAGACACCCAAACCGAGGGCCCTCGCTGACACCTGTGCCGCGCCCATTCTTCCCTCAGCCTCCGCGGTCAGCACAGGCGACGCGAGGCCCAGAGGCCAGAGCCCAGACCCACCATGGAAATTTTTTTATCGTCGTCGTCGTCGTCATTGCTTATCGATGTTTCGGATCAGCGGTCAGAAAATTTCTAGTCTGCGTCTGATTTAAATGATGTGTTTAGAGAACGTAATGATTTATACTGGTTCGGACGGAATGTCCCTACGTCTCAGTCTGCTACTGCTCGGGTTACCAGCACTACTTTGCAGTAGGGGTTACAAATGGGCGAGAAAAGAAGAAGGCCTCAAGTCTCTGGTGAAAAGATGGAACGGAGTTGAGTCTTGTTAAGCTCGTTCAGCCATGTGTTCTTCATGGGGCGTTCTGCTTCCCCTTTTATAGGTGAAGGGGAAGGCGCAGGTTACAGAGAGAGAAAGAGAGAGAAAATGTGAAAAGCGAGGGAGAAGAAGGCCTCTAGGGTCGCGGCGTTCTTCATCTCCTTTATGCGGGTCCCGCCGGTCCTGTAGATGCTGACGGGGATGGCTTCACGTCGCGTCCCTGTTTGTCCCTAGAGCTATACGTAGGCGTCGTCAGCTGGTTGCGGCGCTCCACTCCGTTCCGGATGGGCGGCGTGGTCAACAGGTACTCCTGTCAAAAGCCATACGGGGATTAGGCAACATGTGGCAGAACCACCCGAAATAGCATGTTTCCGAAGACGCTCGTCTTCCACCAGACACTAAGCACCTCGAGAGCTGGCTACATCGGACGGTTTTCGTCGAGCACACCACAAGGGAGCGCTAGAATAATCCACGTTTTCCCTCTAGGATCCAATAATGAGAACGACTTTATAATACTTAGTCCATTTCATACAACAAGAGTTCTTAGAAATACATTAGTACAATACTAAGTTCAGAGTGCGGAACTTAAACAACGGAATTACAATAAACATCTAACGGTAGAATACAAGGATCCGTCTGTGACAACCAGAAGAATCCTCCACACAACAGCTATTCTTCAAACTGCACCTGCAACAGGGGTAAATAAACCCTGAGTACACAATGTACTCGCAAGACTTATCCGACTAGTGGAAATAATTTTTGGACTCCAAAAGATATGATAAGTTTTATGGTTTGCTGGGTTTCCTTTTTGCGGAAAGCAATACTAGTGGTGAATCCTTATGTATGTTTCTTATTAGCAGTCATGATTAGTTCATTATCTAACCATTCTATGTGAGCACCTGTTCTACTTTCAAGCAAGAGTTGAGCAAATAAATCCATTTTACCATCTTTCATCTTTCAGTTCTTACTACGGTGTTAGATTGTATACAAGTCGTACCGGATTACTCGGTGATTCGCGAATCAATGTGCCCAGCTGGGTACCCCGAAACACACGCCCCGCTTGTACCCTAGGCACAAGCAGGACTAACCCATCACCCTCCTATCAAGGGGTCTAGGTCTCCGTCCAAACTTGGACTCCAAGCCCCCACACCTAAGTCTCAGACTTAGTGTGGTGCTTAGACCTCCACCATCCCCGCCTCCAATCAGTCGGTCCGGAAAGAGCCGGAACCCACGACAAGAGAGCAACGAGCCTTCCCTGCTCCCATAAACAAGTATGTGCTCAGGATAATAAGTCTGTGACCTGACTAGAATCCAATGCAACGGCCAGTCCTTAACCGACACGGACAGGAAAAACAGTGTAACCAAGCTATGCCCCGTTGGCCACGAGACACAACCTCTTACACCCACCAATACCGATACCATATCCCTGCCCGATCTCCATTTCTTTTCACCATTTTATCATGAGAGTGATAATAATAATCACCTATTGTGAGTAACGACAGATTATTCACTGTCGACACAGCATTTTCGTCTCCATGCCGAGGACACACGCAGCGAGCCGGAAGGGTCCGCTCGATGGAGCAGATCCGCCTAGCTTCAGCGCAAGGGTGGTCGATCCTGCGCAATCCTCCCGAGACACGCCAGTCAAATTGACCCTGCAATTGACAAGGAGAGAAAGTTTATCAGTAATTAAGGACGGAACATGCCGGTGTTGCCAGACAGTCCCGAATGTGCAGCTCTGAGAGCCGATATGAGAGGAGATCGACTAAATAGTCGATTCCAGCATATTCATAAGAATAAATTGGTTAAAGCTCATGGGGTTGTGTAAGAAGAATCGGTTATCATCTAGGATAAATATAAATTGGAGCAAAAATTAATCAATGGCAATAAGATATCCATGATGATCGGTTTAAACTGAGCCAATGATTACAAGTAACCGAACCCCTTTCTATATAAAGAAACAATTCAACACCACTTAACCATTTAATAAAGATGAATCTAATGAACATGTTAGATCTCATCTATCGCCATTACCAGTGGGGCATGAGGTAGAATCATGCAGGCCGTAGAAACAACAATAGACTCGACGATCCTAACTCATTACTAATATCAATGGGGCATGAGGCAGAATCATACAGGCCGTAATACAATAACAAGATCATGGGGCTAACATATCTTTCAACTTATCTCTACTTCAATGATCTCATGATGTGAACTGTTCATGAAAGCATTCGATATCGGCTAAACAGCCGATTCAGGCATAGCGCACAGTTAAGGTCATGCCTTCTCAGGAACGGATCTATCAACTAACGATCCCCACTCCACGGTGCTAATAGTGGGGTGCGAGAGGCAGAATCCCACAGGCCATGATAATGAGCCATGGAACGGTTCTCGCTAATCAATAGATCTACTCAAGATCGAACATGCCTTAAATCGCACACTATGCACGATTAAGATTGATATAAAAACAGCCGATAAAAACATAACTCATCGTTTAAAATGTAGATTAGATCAGTTTTAGATTAGCAAACGATGGGTTAAATAAGATATAAGGCCGATCTAGATCAATCTCAATCAGACATTGTGATATTACTATAATTATATAAACAATGAAAGCAATAAGCGATATCGGTAACTTAATGAATCTACCAAAGACTGCCATTCAAAGGTAGAGCCGATAATTTAACCTTGATCTAGTTCAAGCAGTGGGGTGTGAGGCAGAATCACACATGCCATACTTAAACTAGGTAAGAGTCGATAACTAGCCTATATCAGAGTCGCAGTGGGGGTCGACCGGATCGATGCAGCCATATGAACAGAGGTATAAGCCATGACGGTACTTACAGACAAGCAGTGGAGGTCGACCGGATCGATGCAGCCATACTTGCTGAAGAACTCATGAGATCTACTCTACTCCTACTCCTAAGGGGTGGCCGGAGCCAAAAAAAGTAAATTGACTTGTATTTGATTGATTGTTGTTTTTTTACAATAGTCGGGGTTTGATATTTATACCCGGAGTCTAGATATGAATCCTACTCGAGCATGATTTGTTACAATTTTTGGCATAAAAACAAAACATTCCTAATTTAAGATAACTTTGACTCTAATCTTTCCCTTTTTGTA